TCAGATCAACAAATGTATTTTTTAGTTCCAGGATTTCTGTTTGATTTTTTTTTTTTTAATTTCAATCTCTGTTAAATTTGTCTGACAAATTTGTGAATTGTTTTTCTATGTCAGAGTTTGCTGAGTTTTTTTTTTAACTGTTATCTTGAATTCTTGATTTGAGCACTTACATGTTGCCATCTCATTAAGGTTGGTCATTGGCTCTTTGCTTTGTCTGTTTGAGAAGGTCACGGTTTTCCGTTCGCTGTTGTTTCTTGTGCACATATGTCTGTGGTTTTGCATTCAAAGATTTGTTATCTAGGCTTTCCTGTCTGGCTTGTTTTGTTTTTTCTTGGATGTTTGCTTAGAGGTTCTTTGCAGCTTACTGTCTGCCTGGAGTTTTTTCACTTCTCTGGTCTCATCGTCAGATTTGAGTTCTGGAATATTGCTGGTGATATTCTTGGTGCTGGATGTTTGGTTTTGGTTTTGAGAGGGTGAGTGGAGCCAGATTGCTTCTACTTCTCTATTTGGTGATGTCATTCCCTCTATTAACTCTTTTAATATTTTTGATGCTATTGTAAATGGTATTGTTTTTATATTCACTTTTGATTTTTCATTGCTAGTATATAGAAGTAGAATTGAGTTTTGTATATTGATCTCGTATCTTGTAACCCTGCTAAACTCATTTATTCATTCTAGTAGCTCTTTGTAGATTCCAGTAGATTTTTTACCTAGACAATTACGTCATTTGCAAATAAAGATCATCTTACTTTTTCTTTTCCAGTCCAGATGCCATATTTTGTTTTCTTGCTTTATTGCACTGGCCACAGTCTTCAATACAATTGGCAGGTTTTTTTAGTGCTTGAGATGTGGTACATCTTTTTTTTTTTTGTTCCTGATCTAAGGTAGGAAGCTTTTACTCTCTTACCATTAAGCGCAATATTAGGTATGGGTGTTTCTTAGATGCCCTTTTTCAAGTGGAAGAGAACTGTCTGGCTAGAGGCTTATTAATTTTATTGATTTTTCCAAAGAATCAGCTTTTGGTTTCATTGACTTTCTGTTGTCTTTGTTTTTATGTCATTATTTCTGTTCGATATTTATTTTTTTATTTCTACTTTGCTGACTTTATGTTTGTACAACCAATTATTGTGAGGGGGGGGTATTGAAATTTCCCACTATAACTGGATTTCTCTATTCTTGTTGTTCAATCAGTTTTGGCTTTGTGTATTTTGAAGCTCTGCTGTTAGGTACAGAAATGCTCAGGAGATTGTTACGTCCTCTTGATGATTTGATGCCTTTATCATTATCAAATGATTTTTTTTATCCTTCAGAATATTTTCTGCTCTGAAATCTATCTTGTCTGGTATTAATATAGCCATTCCAGTTTGTTTTCTTTTGTTTTTTTGAGACGGAGTCTCACTGTGTTGCTCAGGCTGGAGTGCAGAGGTACGATCTTGGCTCACTGCAACCTCCGCCTCCTGGGTTCAAGTAATTTTCATGCCTCAGCCTCCCTAGTAGCTAGGATGACAGGCATGCGCCATCATGCCTGGCTAATTTTTGTATTTGTAGTAGAGAGAGGGTGTCACCATGTTGGCCAGGCTGGTCTTGAACTCCTGGCCTCATGTGATCCGCCTGCCTCGGCCCCCAGACTGCAGGGATTACAGGCGTGACGTGATCCACCCACCTCGGCCTCCAGAGTACAGGGATTACAGGTGTGAGCCTCTGCGTCTGGCCCATTCCAGCTTATTTTGATTAACAGTAACATGGTGTATCTTTTTCTGTCCTTTTATTTTTAGCATATTTGTGTCTTCATATTTAAAACATGTTTCTTATAGTCTGCTTCTTTGTATTGTTGGATTTTGCTTCTTACCCAGTCTGACAGTCTCTGCCTTTTAGGTATTTAGGCTATTTACATTTAATCACTTAATGTGATTATTTATGGATTTAAATTTATTATCTTGCTATTTGTTTTCCATTTGTCTCAATTTTTTTTTTTTTTGAGACAGAGTTTTGCTCGTCACCCAGGCTACAGTGCAGTGGTGCGATCTCGGCTCACTGCAACCTCTACCCCTCGGGTTCAAGTGATTCTCCTGCCTCAGTCTCCTGAGTAGCTGGGGTTACAGGCACGCGCCACCACGCCCAGCTAATTGTTTTTGTATTTTTAGTAGAGATGGTATTTCACCATGTTGGCCAGGCTGGTCTTGAACTCCGGACCTCAGGTGATCCACCCACCTCCCAAAGTGCTGGGATTTCAGGTGTGAGCCACCATGCCCGGCCTATTTGTCTCAATTGTTGTTTACTTTTGTCTTCTCTGTTGCCTTTTTAGGATTGGATATTTTAAAATGATTCTACTGTATCTTATTTGTTAGCTTATTGTCTACAACTTTTGGGAGACGTTGCTTTAGGGTGTATAGTATGTCTTTAAGTGATTTTCTATTTTTCTTATCCTGATCCTTGTGCCATCATCATGATGATATATTTTACCTTTACATATTTTATAACCTCCAGATATGTTTTTTCCTTCATACAATTGTCTTTTAAAGAAATATAAAATCCCAGAAAAAAAGTTTTATATATTTTCCCATCAGTTTACCATCCAGACCTTCTCATTTCTTTGTGTAGGTCCAGATTTCCTTCTGGTGTGATTTTACTTCTGTCTGAAGGATTTCCTTTAATATGTATCGTAAGGCAGGTTTGCTGGTGGTGAATTCTTTCAGCTTTTGGTTGTCTGAAGGTGTCTGTTTCACCTTTGTTTTGAAAGATATTTTCTCTATGTATAGAATTCCAGATTGACGGGGTTTTTTAGTGCTTGACAGGGGGTGGTCTCCCTTCATCACTCGCGTGGTGTCCGATGAGCTGTCTGCTGTCGTGTTTGTTCCTCTGCTGCCTCCAGGATTTTCTCTCTTAGTGCTTTTGAGCAACTTGATTACGATGGACCTTGGTACGGTTTTCTACCTTCTGCTTGTAGTTGTAGTTCATTGAGATTTTTGGATCTGGGGCTTTGTAGTTTTCATGAAATTTGGATCATTTTGAACCTTTGTATCTGCAGACTTTTGTTCTGTCTCTCTCTTCTCCTCAGGACCTCAGGCGCGCAGGTACCAGGCTGCTTGGCTTCGTCCCACCGCGGCTCAGTAAAGCTTTGTGCCTGTTTTGCGGTTTCTGTTGCTGTGTCTTCGGGTTCACTCATCTTTTCTTCTGCAATGTCTAATCTGCTGTTCATCCCACTCAGTGGTTTTCATAGTTTTCACTTCTGCAAGTTCAGTTTGGATTGTTTTAAAAAATATCTTCCGTGTTTCAGCTTAGATTTAATGTCTTGTCTGCTAATTCTAACATTGGGTCAGTTTGAGTTGACTGATTTTTCTTCTCATTAAGGGGTCTGTTTTTTTCCTTTGTAGGCCTGGCAATTTTTGGATTATATATATATATAATATATATATTAATATTTTGGATAATATATATATATATGTATTTTTTTTCTTTTTTTGAGATGGCATCTCACTCTGTCGCCCAGGCTGCAGTGCAGTGGTACGATCTCAGCCCACTGCAGCCTCCGCCTCCTGGGTTCAAGTGATTCTCCCGCCTTAGCCTCCCAAGTAGCTGGGATTATACGCGTGTGCCACCACACCTGGCTAATTTTTGTATTTTTAGTAGAGACAGGGTTTCACCATGTTGGTGAACAGGCTGGTCTCAAACTCCTGACCTCAAGTTATCCGTCCACCTTGGCCTCCCAGAGTGCTGGGATTCCAGGCGTGAGCCACTGTGCCTGGCTGTACGCCATGTATTTTGAGTTTCACCTGGTGAGGTGATGGATGTCTGCATTCCTGTAAAAATTCTTGAGCTTTGTTCTGGGATAGCTCGGTCATTTGGAAACAGTCCTGTGCTTGCAGGAGTTCTCACCCATTGGCAGGTCTCGGGAGTGGGCAGGGGTCCTCTCCAGGCTTGCTCCTCTCTCCTGGGACAGCTTTTTTGGAGCACCAGGGGCCCTTGAGGCTGCTGATTGAGAGCTCACGCTTGCTGCTTCCCACAAGTGAGATTTAGAACCCGTGTTACTCGGGGTGCTGATGCCCCCATGGGCTCTGAGCTCACCCAGAAGTGAGATTAGAACCCGTGTTACTCAGGGTGCCGATGCCCCCATGGGCTCTGAGCTCATGTCTTGCTTTGCTGGGCCTTGTGGTGAGTCCTGTGTTACTAGGTCATGCTGTGACCAGGTCCGAGGGCTCCAGCCTCCTCAAGGTTGAGCCTGTCCTCGTGGGAGCCATGAGACAGGTTGCCCTCACCCCTGGCTGTCAGGAAGGTTGGGAAAGTGTTGGGTCTGGGTTAGTTGGGCTCCTGAGGCTTAGGGTGGTGTCTGTCCCTGTGAGTTGCTGCTCTGTGCTGGCCTTTCCCTCCAGGCCTCTCTGCCCAGAGTCTGCACTGTGAGGAGTCAGAGTGCCCGTGAGAACCACTGGGTGGCGCTCAGCAGTGGTGGGTGCCTAGTCAGCCCATGCTGGTCCGTGTGCTGGGAAAACACCACTCAAACACCCAGCCGGGTGGAGAGGATGCAGGCGTACTGGCTGCCTGGAAGTCACCGAGTGCCATCCTTAGCAGCAAACAGTGTGTTTGCAGATGGTCTGCTGTGCTACTCTTTTAGTTTCCAGGACCTGGGCCTGCACAGAGGCCTGCCTGTCCCTGCCCCCGGATAGGGTGGATGAAGCCTGTGCATGTGAACAGCTGGTATTCCTCCCGTTGCAGCAAGAGCTCCAGTGGTGGGAGCCACCCTCCATGCTGCTGGCCATGGCCACACAGGACAAAGCTCAGGGATGGTTCTTAGACAGTGGTTCTCCCCCGGGGCTCAGCACCAGTCACCTCCAGTGCCATCTTCGTCATCCACAGCACTGCAGTCACTGTCACCCACAGGAGTTGCCTAGCCATGGCCTTTGTGGCATTCAGGAGGAAGGGCCCAGCCTGGCTGACTGTGCACCTGGCTGTCTGTGTGGTGTCAGTGCTGGGCCCCCTGGTGCTGACCTGCAGCCTGTGTGCAGGTACGTGCAGCACTACGGCCTGGAGAGTGCCTGTGACAGCATAGAGCGTGTGCTGAAGAGTGTGGCTGTGAAGCTGGGGAAGACACAGAAGGTGAAGGTGCTCACGGGCACGGGTGAGTGAGGTTGCTGATGCGGGCACTGGAGCCTCACCCCATCACCCAGAGGGACCCCGGCCGTCCCCAGAGGAGGCAGGGAGGAGAGGAACGTCTCAAGGAGCATGCAGGCGGGTCTTCTGGGACTGGGTTTCAGGGCAGGGGAGCTACAGAAAGTTCTGGAGAGGAAGGGCTCGTAGTCCGGGCTTCTGAGGGTCCATCAGCCCTGCCGCTTGATGGGCAGTGCGAGGTGGACACCTGCAGGCCTCATGTGCCTGGCCTTGGAGGCTCCAGGCAGCGCAGCTCCAGCTGGTTTCTTTCTGAGTGAGATCCTGTTCCCTGGGCTTCCCTGATGCCACCCTAGAGTCTCTTAGGGCTGGTCCCTCAGGTGGGTAAGGGCTGGGCCCGTGCTGCTATGAAGGCTCCTTCCTCACTGATCCCTCCCATCCTCCAGGTGACGTGAACGTTATTCAGCCTGACTATCCTGCGGCAGCCCGTGACTTCCTCCATACCTTCCGCCGCGGGCTGCTGGGCCCCGTGATGCTGGACCTCGACATCCTGCGTGGCCACCCCCCGGCCGAGACTGTGCCCTGAACTTGTCCGCGTGGGGAGGGCCACGAGTGGCCTCCCAGACCTCCTGACCTGGGTGGTTGAGGCTCAAGACAGCTCACCTGGTCCAGGAGCTCCACGCTGGCCACTAGGGTGCTGTGCTCTCTGGTGCCCCCACGGCCTGGCTAGTTCCAGGGGCCCCAGTTCCAGGGGCCAAGCAGGTGGGAGTGGACACCAGGCTTCCCAGGTGACGTCCCTGAGCAGCTCCGCATGCTTGGTTCTCCCGGAGCTTCCTGCTCAGGCCTCTTGAGAAATGGATGCTGTCTCAGAAGGAGTTAAAGCTATAACCTGTAACCTTTAAAATCTCCAATTAAAGGGCCTGTTTCTTACTGGCCTGTGAGGTGTACCGTAGTGCCTTGGGCCTGTGTATTAGAGCTGCTCTCACCAGTGGAACCTAAGAAAGGAGCAGGTTGGCAACGAGGGCTTGGTTGGGGGCTTTTGGTCCCGTGTCCTGCAGTCCCACAGCAAGTAAGAGGCTGGCTGCCGGCAGAGAGGTTTATTTCACACTCACAGGCGCACGCAGACACAACAAGACTCCCAGCAGCAGAGCCCAAGCACTGGCTTCACCCCTCCGTGCCCTGGGGCATGTTCCAGGGCAGAGTTGAGGGGGGCGCCCTGCACATGGCTTCGCTGTGCACAGACGGGAAGGCCGCCCGGCACGGGCAGTGGAGACCCCCTGGCCGCTGAGCACCTTCTGGCTCACGGGTAGTGGGTTTCTGCATTAGTGGGGCTGAGAGGTGTGGGGGCCCCTCCAGCCCCATTATCAGTGCATCTGAAGGTCCACAGCCTGTGTCCTAGAAGAGGGAAGAGGAAGGAAGGTGAGTGGGGCTGGGGATATGGACTGAAGTGCTGTGGGGCCTGGGGCCGGGGACATCCTATGCAGAAGCTCCGGCCTCTTTCTAGTGGTGGCCTGGCCTTCCCACAGCAGCCTCCACCACGGCCCTGGTGCTCAGCGGCCCCTCCTTGCTGGCTGGCTGCCTCTGCTGCCCCGTACCCCACACGCTCATCAGCCTGAAGTTAGCCCCCGCATGCCACCTGCCTCCTGCCATAACACTGCCCGCCTGGGCCGGAAGTGTTCAGATTGGCTGTGTCAGATGCTAATGTACTGAATACGCAGATCACGATGTGTCCATCACATCTGGAACACTCCATCAGCTTGCAGTGCTGTGGTGTGTGAGGGTCTGGTGCAGCTCAGCCCATTTTCTAGGTGGGCATCTGCGAAGTCGAGGGGGCTCCGGTGGGTCTCCTTGCTTTGAGGAGACTCAGACCACTCCCTGCCTCCTGGGGAAATGGCAGATCTGGGGCAGGGCCTGGCCTTGGCCTGCTGGTCTTGGTGGCACTGAGCTTGGTCTGGAAGGGGTGGGGGAGCGTCTGGGCTCACTGGGCCGGGGCATTGCTGGCAGTGTGGATGGGAGGCTGCAGGGTGCTGCCTCCTGTGGCTTAGTGCCCCGGAGCTAGAGAGCAGTGCTTGGTTGAGTCCTGCCAACAGCTTCCAGATCCTCACCCTGGCCAGCACCCAGGCCAGCTGGGGAAGGCAGAGGCTGGCAGGGCCCATGGGGGGTGCTGGTCTCAACTTTGGTGTCCACTGAGTCCAGAGGCTCCGGCCCGGGAGGGATGCAGCCTGGCAGCGGCAAGGCTCTCACCAGGGCCTGGAGAGGGTGAGATCCTAAGGCCACGGGGGGCCAGGGAGAACCCATCCTACCTCGGATGAGTCGGGTGACTGGAGTGTTAGAGAACGTGGTAGACCCAAGACCTCTCAGTGCTGAGCCCATGGAGGATGCCCCAGGCTGGCAGGACTGGGGAGCAGAGGGCCGGTCTTAACACAGGTGTGTCCAGTGCTGGAGGCAAGTCCTTGTGACTGCCCGGTGCCACTCCGTGTGTCTGCTGTCCTTGGGGGGTCAGAGCTCTTGGAGATGTTGGGGGCTCAACCTCTTGCATGGGTGTCCTGCTGGGCGCCCGGGCCCGCCACTGGCCCCTGCTTGCTCCGTGGTCTGAGTTAGCTCCTGATCCACTGAGCAGGCCGTCAGCTGCTGATCTACCACGCCTCGATACCCAGGCCCTGTTCCGAGGCCTGGAACAGCTGCTTCTGAGGAAGGGGCTGCCTGCAGGGAAATCCGCGTGCTGCGCAGCCTGAGCTGTGCCCAGGGAGGGCTCTTCAGTGGGATTGGCAGTTGCCGTGCCCTGAGTACAGGCAGAACTGTGTGATGCCTGAATGTGAACCTAAAGTTCAGAAGATTTGGAAAGCTCTGGAATGTGTTGGGTTTTTCCCCCAAAATGGGTCCTAAGGAGGGTAAAGTGACATGTTTCAAGTTGTTGGAGCAAAGTGGGTCTCTGACGGATCTCGGCCTGAGGGTGTGGGGCACAAGGCCTGGCAGCCCCTCCAGGGCAGGGTGTGTTTTCCCACCAGCTGCGGAGAGCCAGGATGGATGTTCCTCGGAGGGACAGTTCTCCTGCCTGGGAATGTTCTGGGCTGTGAGATCCACTGTCTCTTCTGGGCAGGTGGTTAGCACCTATCGTTTTCCTCTCACTTCCCCCCAAATCCTACAGTCCTTTGGTCCATTTCATTGCTGCTTTTGGGAAGGGCCAGATTCCTCAGGGCCTCGGTGGCAGAACCAGCCTGAGGTGGCCTCCCTGCCCATGCGTCACCACAGCCCCAGGGCAGGTGAGGGGAGCCGGGGTGGCTTGGGTTCCTGGCCTTGGCACCTCCCTTTGGGCGGCTCTGGAGCGTAGCTGGGCGGTTGGTACAGGAGCCACAGGCCGCTGCCTTTCGGATTGGGGGGGACCCTAACATCCAGGAGTGCGTTGGGGCAGGATCCATGGTCCCCTCGAGGTGGGAGGTGGGAGGCTGAGGCGGCGTGGGCAGGACACTGGATGGCGGGTCCACAGGGACAGCCTGCAGCTCCTGCCCCAGCTGGGGCCCAAGACCGTGGGCAAGGGAGGAAGGGGGAGCCCAGGCCGGGGGATCCTGGGGACGGCGCGGGCCGGGGGCCAGATGTAGTCCCCGAGCCCAGCCAGGCCTAGGGCCACAGCAACCCCAGGGCGCCGAGGGCGCCGCCCAGCACGAGACAGAGACTAGGGCTGCGCGTGGGTCCAGCGCCTGAAGTCCACGCCCGGTAGCTGTAGATGCCGGGGCCGGTCCCGTTGCCTCCGGGCACCCCGTCCTCGTTGTCCTCCAGGCCGCGCTCCCCGGGTCCCGCGACCCTTCTCCAGCCCGAGCCCGCCGCCAGGCCCGCGGCTGCTCCCGCCGCCGCCCCAGCCGCCGCCCCTGCTGCAGCCACGCGCAGGGAGGAGCCAGGGGCACCGTAGCGCGGCGCCGGCCTCACGCGCACCCTCGAGGTCCCGCGCGCGCCCCCGCGAACCCCTCCCCGGGCACTGCCCCGCGCCCCTCCGCGGCCACCCTTGGCTGCGCCGCTGTCGCAGAGGAAGGCGGCCGCCAGTAGCAGAGCCCAGCACGTTGCGGGTGCCCAGTTCATCTTGGTGGAGCCAAACCTGCGGGAAGAGAGGGAGAGGGCCCTCAGTTTCCATGGAGATCGGGTCCCCAGGGGCGGAGGGCTCAGGGCTGGAGAGCAGAGGGACCCTCGGCTTTTGTGGGATCAGGGTGCCCCCAGCATCTTGGAGGCCCACGCAGGTCTGGGGGGCGCGGTTTAATCTCTAGCATCAGGGACTTGGGCCTGGGGGAGGCGCTGGGAAGTGGCGGGTGGGGCAGGAGGGTTCTGCAGCTGAAGGTTGTGCACCTGAATTGGGGGCGTTGAAGCGGGGCAGGAGCGCCGCGGTGGGAGCGTCCAGGCCTCGGGGGGCGTCCAGGTCCGGGGGGTATGGGGCAGGCCTGGGGGAGGGCCGCCATGCTCCTGGGCTGTGCACGCGTTGCTGGGATGCGAGGTGGGGGGAAGCATGGGGGCAGGGGTGTTGTGTTTGGAGGATGCGGTAGCGGGGACCAAGTGCTGGCTCAGATAAGGGTCTGGAGCGGGGACGGGCCGTGCCTGGGCCTGGCGCCCACCTTTGGGGCCAGAGCCTGGGTGCGGGCCTTGCAGGTGCTGCGGCTGTCAAGCGGCTGCTGACACCGTGCGGACCCCGCCCCAGCAGGCCAGTACCCCAGGGACGGTCCCTCCCGCGCACTCCCAGCGCTCCATGCCGTCCCCGATTGCCTAGTTCAGCACCTGGCGGGGGACAGGATGGGGTCGAGTAGCGGGGTCGCCTGCGGACGCGGCTATCCGGGCGACGGCTGCATCCCCTGCCTGCGCGGCCCCTCGCTCCCCGGCTCTGTACCCGCCCCAGCCTCCCGGCCTTACCTGCCACGGACCTCGGTTGGAACCGCGCGCCGGAGTATCCGCCCAGGGGCCGCGGCCGAGCGGGAAGGAGCGGGCGGGCGGCGGCGCAGACCCTCAGCCGGAGCGCGGAGCCGAGGCGCCTGGGTTTTGCGCGAGGCCTCCGCCCTGGGATTGGGGCGGGCAGTCGCGGAGGCGCATCCCCGGTGAGCCGGTGGGAGGGGAAAGGGACGTCCCCATTCCCCATCCTCGCGGCCTCCCGTCCTCCGTCACCAGCCCCCTCCGTCTCCTGCATCACAAGGTCCCTTCCCCGCGATCCCCCGCGACCCCCGCCCCCGGCCCCGTTCCACCCGCCCCGCTTCCTCCCCCTTCACACCCTGGTCCCCACCTGGGCCCATCCGCCTGTGAGTCCCGGTGCCCGGGGATGAGGGCCGAGGTCCTGAGAGGAGAGGGTCCCTGTGCCGGCCCCACGGAGGCCCGAGCCCACCCCGCGGTCCCTACCCCGGCAGGTGCGGCTTCTCCCCTTGTTGTCAGCTGCGGGACTGGGCAGGGACCTTCTCAACCTTCGACCTTGTTTCAAGGAGGATGGGGTCGACTCTCGCGATCCCCAAAGGCCTGCCACGGCCCCTCCTGGGCCAGCTGCCTCCCTCCTGTGGGTTCTGATGCCACCTGGGCCCACGGCGTCTTCCCAGCCCAGGGCGGCCGCGCCTCCGGTGAGTTTCAACTGAGCCTGGCTCCGGGTGCAGCGCCCGCGTGGGACCTCTGCTGTCCCGTGTAGGGTTGCCCTGCAAATATGTGATGAATAAGTAAATAAATTCTTTCTGTCTTCTAACTTGCCGGATATTAGAAGGAAACCAAGCTGTGCTTCTCATTTATAGCTACCGTTAAGGACTGAACAGAAGCTTAGCTTTCTGGGTGAGAGGGACAACAGTGTTTTTAGAACCTCTGGAAAGAACATGTATTTGAAAGTGACTGACAGGTCTTCCGGCCCTAGGGGGCCGCCTGAGCAGGTCCACCCAGCTTCCCTCCAAGACAGAAAATAAATTAACAAGGAGAGCAGGAAGGGCCCCGGGAGACTCCAGACCTGACCGGGGGTGCTGGCCATCAGGCAGGACAAGCTTGGAAGGGAGGGGATGTGGGATGTGGAGGTGGAAGTGGAGGTCATCATAGGTCTGTACACTCTGGTCGAGTCCCCCTTTCCGGTCACATACAGAACAGCC